CTATCTACAATAACGTAAAATATGATTAGTAGTTATATATATATATATATATATATATATATATATGTGTGTGTGTGTGTGTCTATATATACGTGTATATATTTATATATGTATGTATATGCATATATATATATATATATATATATATATATATATATATGTGTGTGTGTGTGTGTGTGTTTGTGTCTGTGTGTGAACGCGAGGCTGTGTATGTATGTATGTATACATATAAATATGGGCATCATTTTTTTATATAAACATCTTGACACAGGGGGCAATTCGGCTAGTGAGATAATACAATAATAAAAGAAATCCAGTATTCTTTTTATCGTTACAGGACTCAAACATGCCCATCACTCGATAAAGAAAATATAAATACTGAAACAATGAGCCGATTAATTCAGGCGGTCATTCAATCAATGACGCATGTTATGCGTGCTACTTGCATAATTTCATGATAATAAGGAAAGTTTAATGACACAGAAATTGTTTATTAATAAGCTTGGCGAATTTTAAATAGTCGATAAGTTATACCGATACAATATACGATGCCTACCGTGTAGGTTGTTTTCTATAAAACGCATATAGAAATATATTGCGGTTAGTGCCTCAATATATAGGAAAGTATTATGTAGTTTTGGCACAGACAACACATTTATCAGTAGACATGGCTTTTGGTAGCCTACCGTATATTTCATGGTCAAGTTATATGGTAGTTATAACCTTAACTAAGAATTTTGAGCTAGAAATCTGGAGCTAGACATCTACGTTTGGCCGCCTTGTACGTCGCAATTTACAGCATCTAGCTAATAGTTAACTTCAACGCAGTTAAATCTGTTACAATGCCACAAGTTTAATTGTTGTTTAATGTTATCTACAAGTTGGGCGGGCAAGAATCAATTTTTTTTTCATTACTGGTCCTTTTTTCTTTTCGCTTAAAATGTTGCTTTCTTACTAATGGTAAACTGATTCTTATTCGCCCCTCTAATGGATACGCCTCTTCAGAGACCAACATACAGGAAGGTCAATCATAGTGAATACTTTAATGGAATGTTTTCATGCTAAAGTGCTGATAGCAATTACACTTGAATGGATATGGTAAGTGCTAATCTAAAAATGTGAAGTATGAATATCAGGCGAACATAAAATTACAGTGATATACACATATATTCAAACATATATATATATATATATATATATATATATATATATATATATATATATATATATATATATATATACACACACACACAAATATATACACATTCTTATATATGGCTACGTAAAGTGAGATGCACGTATACACATTTAAATGAATATATATATATATATATATATATATATATATATATATACATATATGTGTGTGTGTGTGTGTGTATGTGTGTGTATGTATGTATTATTTTTAAACATTGTTATTAGAGGAATCTCGTATTTGAGTCGGCGCTCTGTTAATATATTAGACAGTATATTTATTTATATTCATCTATCAGTGTGAAATTTCATGACATCTATTTAAAGAAAGATTTCTTATCGTATAGCATAAATTTTATCCTTAATAAGATTTCTCAAAATTTCAGAACTCTAGGTAAATTTTAATAGATATACTCTTTACTATATGAACTGAGTACGAACTCATATGAGAGTATAAACTAAGAATAACGTATAAAGTGATAGAAATCTATTGGAATAAGAAATCTATTATATATATATATATATATATATATATATATATATATATATTACGATAAATGTGCAATCAATTAACAAATTCATGAATTATTCACACAAAAACTAATGCAAAGATTGATGATTTAATTGGCGAGAAATCCATCATCGCAAACAATTCAAATAATATACAAAAACCTCCGAATCCGTTATGAATGAAATGATCCTTGTTTATATAAATTTCTGCCGTATTAGTTCTTATTTTTACTACAAGCTTTCGTCTGTTCCTACAGACATCTTCAGGTATAGAATAGATGTTGTTCTTGTTTTTTCTCTTAGTAATAGGAGGACAACGAAAATATATGTATTGTTGTATCCGAAAATGCTATTGAAAATGAGTTATTGTTTTAGGAGCGCGCAGTAGCAACGCTGAGTTTGATTTTAAATTTTTAAAGGTTGTGCGTTCATATAAAATATGGTGATGAACAAGTTTTTTACTGGTAAATTTTCTGTCAAAGTGGCATGAACTATATTGTTCAATAATTTCAGTAATGTCGCACTTATTATCCAAAAGTCGGCTTTCCAATAAATCTCAACGGAGGCAGTATGTTTTGTCGCATGAAACGCTTGGTGAGCGTAACTACCGTTTGTACTGCAAATCAGTTTACACATATTCGTTGAAAAGTAAGTGGAAACTACCTAAACGCTTGCAAGACAACATAAAAGCGGCTTCATCACAAGCGCTTTTGCGGTTTCGACAGATCCCACATTGAAAACCGCACGTAACGCATCGAAAGCTGCGACAACGTCCATTCGACGGTCCCAGGAATCCATGGCTGAGAAAACCGCACGCCATGCAGCCGACGCCGCTGCAACTTCTGCTGCAAGGGAGTCGGAAAGTTCCTCTCAAAAGCGCCCAAGGCGGCAACGCGATGCAATTTCAACTTCCGCTGCTAGAGCTGTAGAAGGACCTACTGAAAGGCTTGAAAGGTTGCAGACTGTTAACCAGCGCCGCCATGCAGAGCGAGGGCTCTGTAGCCCACCAAAACAGTTTTGGTTTAAGCTGGCGTTCAAATATGAACCAATTTTGAGGCTTTCCGGTCGCAAAGACCTCCAAATAGGATCTATGTCAGTTGTCTGTGGGCATTGCAATGCCAGAAAATTGCCTGGAGAGTCTGCAGGTTTGTGTTGTTCAAACGGTAAGGTACAGTTGCGACCTTTTCAAGAGCTACCTGCTCCGTTGAAAACTCTGTTGGATGGTTCCAGTCCAGACTGCAAACATTTCCTCGCAAAAATCAGACAGTACAATTGTGCCTTCCAGATGACCTCTTTTGGTGGTAATACCTTCCGCGAAGTCGGTTGGAATCCCACCTTCAAGGTTCAAGGTCAGGTTTATCACCGGATTGTGTCTCATTTGCCGGAAACTGCCACTGATTCGGCCTTTCTACAAATATACTTCATAGCTGACTACAATCAACAGGCAGATGCCCGCATGTGCATTATTCCCGAGAAGGATACAGGCCAGGTCAATCATCCTCGCAGCGATAACATAATGAGTCTCCAACAAATGCTCCACGAGACAAACAGCTATGTCCGCAGTTTTAAGTATGCTCTCGAAATTAACACTTCTTCTGATTTCATTATTGTAATTGATGCTGACAAACGGGCTCAGGGAGAGCACGAACGTCGTTACATTGCTCCCGCAAGTAACAAAGTTTCCATCATTGTCAGCGGTGATCAGCACAACAGACGTGACATTGTTACCGAATCGCGGGGCAGTGGGCTCCGAAGAATCAATGAAACGCACCGGTCCAACGATGCACTGCAATACCCACTTCTCTTCCCTTACGGAGAAGATGGGTACCACTTTGTCATTCTGAAAAATGGGTCCACCTTAAAAACAGTGTCTTGCAGGGCTTTCTACGCCTACCTGATGGTACATGAGGGTGTATTCAATCATCTTCATCTTTATGAGAAGCACTGCTCCTCTAAGTGTACACCAGTGACAGACAGCGTTTGTCCTTGGGTCTTATTAATTGCCATAGCAAATTAGGGTGCGAAATGGAATGTGGATCTTCTGAAAGTGAAGGGTACATCGGCATCTGATGGATACAAATGCTTCCCTGGGATAAACACTTGCTCCCATTTACCGCATTACTGTGAAGCATTGACCTCATAGTTACAAGCATCAATTGTCTCTCCTCACATCACCAAACCATATGTACGAAATGAATGACCCAGACCAGATTACGGGCCCTTTCAAAAATGGGTGCGGACCCCTTCGTGCAGCAAAAAATCGATAAAAAGCTCCGGTTCGACCCTGCCATCAGCTGTCAGTTTTTGACTTCTTTTCACGCCCAGGCTGCAATTAACGTCAAATGTCGATTCAACTTCCAACATTAACGGCGTCAATTCGTAACGGAGACAGATTTTCAATTTGGACTCAGGCTTTCAAAAAGTTGGTAAATCGGCTGGTACTTCGGTATTTGGGCGGATTACATTCTAAAACTTCGGGCGTTCTTTACAATTCAACCAGAAATTCCTATGCGGCCCGGTTAGAGGTGCCTTGCATAGAATGCAGTGTGACCCGTCGTGACTCAAAAATCAATACAAACTTCCGTGTTGACCATGCCCTTAGCAGTCTATTTCCTAGTTCTTTAAGTGTTCATTCTCCCAGGCCGCGTCCCAGGTCCGATATTTCAATTTACGTCATTGTGTCATGCTGGAGCCCGATTTTTTTATTTGAGACTCAAACTTTGTAAAAAACACGATTAACTCACAGGTGATACGGATATTGGGGGTTTTAAGTTGAATATCTCGCGTGCACTACGCGGCCCTGTACATCTAAGCTTTTCACCTCATTTTGGACTCTGTGCAGTTGACTTCGCGTTGTTAAACACTTTTGAGCTCTTTTTATTTGAACTTAAAATCGGATCATTGTATGGTTTCCAAAGTACCGGGTAAACAAAACACGGGCAACAAAACCCCTCCAAGTAGTATAACCAGTCTTAATATGTCAGGAAACTGGATTGGGTGTAAAAAAGTATTTGTTGTTAACATTGTTTTTTCATTTGGTTTTTCCAGTTACGAGTCCTTTTTTAAAGCTGATAGTTTCGTGTTCATTTTGTTTAGTTCTTTTTTCGTAACAGATTTAATGTTTAGTATAGAGCTTAGAAAAAATTCGCAGTGTGAGATAAGCAAGAAGTAAGGCATGTAGCAACATCAGCAAGGCAAAGGGCACTCTTTTAAAGGCAAGGAAGGGCAAAAATATTTTAAGTCAAGTGATAGCGATTGCTGTATGAGTCGTACGATTTTTGAATCAATCAGGGGCAACGCCGGGCCATGCTGCTAGTATAAGATATGTGCAATGTTAACCATGCAAACAATAGTTTTCAATGATTATATTTTTTATCCTAATTTGATAAAAGTCAACCCGCCCTCTGACTGGGTGTTGGAATATCAATAAAACAGAAAGATAATTTCGGTAAGAACACATCCCCGGTGCAAAACGAACCAACAAGCTTTTGCACTATTTTGCGTTGAATGTCTTCATGAACCACAGTGGAGTAATGACGACAGAGGTGCAAAATGCACTAACCGAATAAATGATGATGATGATGTGGTATGGTTTTCAGGAGCTTTCCAAATGTACTGGGCACTGAGATCGCCTCCACTTCTGACTGATAACAATTTCACACACACACACACACACACACACACATATATATATATATATATATATATATACACACACACACACACACACATATATATATATATATATATACATATGAATATATATATATATATATATATATATATATATATATATATTCGGTTCTAATATTCTGTATCATTAGGACCTTCTTGGATAATATGCCAACGGATTTTCTACCGGTAGGTAGGTAAAGTCCTCTAGCTTTAATAGCTCACAATTCCCTCTTTCCATATATGAAACTGTGATATCGAGAAAAGGGCATATATATATAACTTTCCAAAGTTAACGTAAATGGCCTCGAACGAAATTTGAACCCAATATTCCGATTCAAATTTGTGTGCTGATAAGTGTTAACCACCTACACATTCACTATCTATCTATCTATCTATCTGTTGGTCTGTTCAAACATGCGTGTCTGAATGTATGTGCGTGGCTCTGGTTATTAGATATCTCCTCCGAAGTGAATGTAGGTCAATAATTGTCATTGATCTCTCACTAATCGAAGAAGCATTCATGACTTTCACGCACATATCACCATTAAACATTGAGTATGTCTGAACTCAAGGAATTATTCGAGTCATTTAGTATTGAGATCTTATATTGAAGTTTCAATTTGTTGATTTATTTGTGACGCATTGTATGAATCCCCTTTCCAACACGCTCATTGGTCATCTCCTTGAATTTCGAGAGACAAAGAAGAAATCGAAAATAACTGAAGGAAAAAAAAGAATAATCACTATAAAACGAGAATTCGATGACAAGAGATTTTCTTGATGACACTGTTTATATTAGAAAGAAACAAGTAGCAAGACGTGGCTTCTAATTAACACATCACAAACAGATTCCGCAATTGGCTGCCAGCGAATGTCCGCTGAATACTGCTTCACACAATACCTTGGACCTTCCGATATGTTGAACGTATCCAGAGGACATCCCGCATGTGTCAATTCATATCGACTGCAAACTTTACGACTTAATTGATGTCAAAGATGCCACCGTCCCGAGAAAACAGAAAATGTCAGAGATAATTAAATTCGCCGAGTGACAGAAGCAAATGTATCGCCTAGATATAAATCTCTCTCAATATACAAAAATATATATATATATATATATATATATATATATATATATATATATATATATATATATATACACACACACACATATATATATATATATATATATATATATATATATATATATATATATATATATATATATATACAAATAATTATTTATTCACAAAAACTAATGCAAAGGTTAATGATTAAAATGGCGAGACATCCATCATCGCAAACAATTCAAATAGTATACAAAATCTCCAGATCCGTTATGAATGAATTGATCCTTGTTTATATAAATTTCTGTTTATTAGTTGTTATTTTTTACTACAAGCTTTGTCTGTTCCTACAGACATCTTCAGGTATAGAATAGATGTTGTTTTTGTTTTTTTCTCTTAGTAATAAGAGGACAACGAAAATATATTGCATTAGTTTTGTGTGAATAATTCATGTATTTGTAAATTGATTGCACGTTTATTGTAATTTAAATAACTGATCCAAGTGCGACTTTTAGATAATAAGTGCGACATTATTGAACAATATAGTTTATGCCACTTTGACAGAAAAATTTACCAGTAAAAAAAATTTGTTCATCACCATATTTGGTATAAACACAAACACTTTAAAAATTTAAAATCAAACTCAGCGTTGCTTTGGCGCGTTCCAAAACCAATAACTCATTTTCAATAGCATTTTCGGATACAACAACACATATATTTTCGTTGTCCTCTTATTACTAAGAAAAAAAAAAAAAAAACAACATCTATTCTATACCTGAAGATGTCTGTAGGAACAGACGAAAGCTTGTAGTAAAAAAATAACAACTAATACGGCAGAAATTTATATAAACAAGGATCAATTCATTCATAACTGATCTGGAGGTTTTTGTATACTATTTGAATTGTTTGCGATGATGGATGTCTCGCCATTTAAATCATTAACCTTTGCATTAGTTTTGTTTGAATAATTCATGTATTTGTAAATTGATTGCACGTTTATTGTAATATATATATATATATATATATATATATATATATATATATATATATATATATATAGGTGTGTGTGTGTGTGTGTGTGTTTGTGTGTGTTTACGTGTGCGTGTGTAGGGGCAGCAGATCATTATTCAAACATATATTGTTAAATACAACAGAGAACGTAAGTCTATTATGTTTTATCAGGAACCTTTCCAAACGTCATATAATGGCTTTAGTTTTAAGACAAAATAAAGACAAAAACTATCCAGTATCTGGATAATTCTTTATCATATTGGTCGTTGGTCTAAGCTTTCAGCTCACGTGTGCCATCATCAGAGTAGTTATATGGATATTACGACAGAGGTTTTTACCGTCAAAGATGACATGCGATTTAGTTTAGATAGATGTTTACTATGCATCGATAACGGTTACACCATAGCAGACGCAAGTCGTAAATTCGTAATGCGGTTCTAGGATGATGGACATGACCGCGCGAGAGAAAGGTAAGTTATCAAAAGAACCATATGTTTTAAATGCATTCTAATATGTTGTGACTGGTCTGAAATATATATATATATATATATATATATATATATATATATATATATATATATATATATATATTTGACAGGCATCACATATGAGGTGATGACTTTTACGTATGAAGGTTTTAAACTATTCGAATTTAATATAGACGGAGATATTTCAGATATAATCATTGTTCCGCTTTTTCATTCACCTGCTTTGGATTGATTGATATAATTGATTGTGAGTGATATATAACTGAGTGTAGGTGTCCCCGTGGGAGCAGCAGTGAATCGTTGTTCGGTTAAAAGCAAGGAATGTAATGCGCCTGAATATCTGTAATGAAAATAGTGATAGTATAGGGAGAGGTTAGAAAGTTTATATCAACGGATAAAAAAGGTAGTGTGGTGAAAATCAATTCATCACCTAGTAGGCCGTGTCAGCTTTTTGAAATCTGTCAAGGCTGAAAAATGAGGATTACCCAACAAAAGACCAGTGTGGTAGGAATACTCTGCTTTGGATTATTTTTGGGTTTATCCGGCTCTTGCAATATAGGCCATAGTAGGACCAGTCAGATAATTTCTGGAGCAGTAATACTGTTACTGACTCTTTAGCTGTGGATGGTATTGTGGTTAGAAGTGAGCCTCAAACCTAGTAGAATTTCGGCCAAGAAGCCTCTTTGAAGGTACAGACATTCATCTTAAAAGAAGAAAACTCAGAATTGTGCTATGATTCTTAAACCTTATTAGCATTCTTTTGGAGGTAATGAATTTAAGAAGCCAGATACTTCCCTCTTGTGCTGTTGAGCAAGGTCAGGCGTGTTTTGTACATCTATATTTTTCTGATGACCCTATAAACTAATGAACAGAAGTTATTCTTAGTATTTGAGAAGTTTTTAAGGGAAATCTTTAATAAAAGAAAAATGAACAAAAAGAGCATAGCATCGATAAGAGAGAGAAAGAGAGAGAGAGAGAGACGAGAAGAGACAGACAAATTTAGGGGACTAAATTGAACACCTGGGCTCCATAAGAGTGACCATTAACAATGAAACTTACCTACCAGATAGATAGGATTTGATCATTGAGTTGATATTCCAGAAATACCAGAGCTAGAGTTTTTTTTTTCTAGCAGCCCCATATGCCACACTTTGCGAAAAAGTCTTCGAGATATAAAGCAATCGCACTCGTGACGGATTTATTATCAATCGCTTTTAAGCGTAATGAGAGTTTAGTCTACAGGAGATGACTTTGAAAAGGGAAAAAGATTTTCTCTCCCCGGAGGTTGTTTCTGTTGAGGAGCATGACAGTCTTCTTGCTGATTATAGCCTTAAAATGTTGGCTGGTGACATTAAAGGAGTGAGGTGAGGTACTATTGCGTCAGTGATTACCGGTCATCTTCATTTTCGCACACTGCACATTCAGCTGACACATTACTTTGACCTTTGAAAAATTTCTCCTTCAAGCGGTAGTTCAATTAACAACGGTTATATTGTATACTAGCAGCATGGCCCGACGTTGCCCGTGCTTGATTCAAAAATCGTACGACTCATACAGCAATCGCTATCACTTGACTTAAAATAATTTTTCCCTTCATTGCCTTTAAAGGAGTGCCTTTTGCCGTGCTGATGTTGCTACATTCCTTACTTCTTGCTTATCTCACACTGTGAATTTTTTCTAAGCTCTATACTAAACATTAAATCTGTTACGAAAAAAGAACTAAACAAAATGATCACAAAACGATCATATTTAAAATAGGAATCGTAACTGGAAAAACCGAACGAAAAAAGAATGTTAACAACAATTACTTTTTCACACCCAACCCAGTTCTGCGGAATCAGAATCAACGTTGAGTTTAAGCAAGTGAATGAGCCAATTGTAGTAAAGTGCCATGCAGATTTAAATTTTTCCCACTTGTGACGAATGCAGGTATCCATTTGTTTTTTGCATGCTAGCATGCTAGTTAACATTCATGTCAGTCAGCTGTTGGCTCTCACGCTGGCCAATAGAATCTTCCTGCTTATTCTTGGCCGCAAACTACATGAAAACTGCTGTAGAAGCATGAAAAAGTCGATTATTTCCACTATTGATGGGAGTTGGGAAATGCAAAGTCGGTGTGGACCTTCCCACTAACATAGAGCATGCGAATGTAAATTTTGGTGCAAATCCGTCAGAAATTGCTGCCATGTATTCGTTACACATGCATACACAGCCTGCCTTTTATAAGTAGAGATCAGAAAGATTATATATTTCCGACAAAACGTGCGGGCATTTATTAGGATTTTATGCTTACTTCATATTAACTCCTCTTTTACTTACTACAAAAAATGTTACAACTGTCTTTAGACATTTATTTAAGCAGTTCATTTAAATAGTTCACGAATGACAGTCTTTAAAGTCTGGAACAGATTACTTTAGTTTTAAATCTATAATCCCAGACACCTTCTCAAATACATAAAACAATTACAGTTCTACTAGGATTTTTTGATTGGTGCTAATAGTGGCATATATACTGACTGTTTATAATAATTGAATTATATATTTTCTGTTACCAAAGATGTGAAATAGTTTTCAGATCAATGTAAAATATACCGATAAAGAGACGCATTGTTAAATAGACAAGTAAGTGTGCTGATATATATATATATATATATATATATATATATATATATATATATATATATATAATTACGTACGTGGCTTTGTGTGAAGAAGGCTTGAGAATAAATAGTAAAAAGTCAATAATACTGCACAAAACACAATGACTTTACACGATCTGTAATTGGATTTTTTTTAATCACATTTTGGTTTAATATCGGGAGTTTTTTTCAAAACGAGTCTCTAAGTACATTGAAGTAAATATTTAACATTTAATCTTATTCTAGAATTGTAGATTGTCGATACTTAAGTTTTTATTTT